GAGGCAAAACGTCTAATTACGATGGCTGTATTTGAAGATGATGCTGTCGTGTATGTCAAGGGACGCGAGAAATGAACGTGGCTGCGGAACTTGCTTCTGGGCGATGAGCGAGAGCGAGAACGCATTGAGACCCTGGATGCAGTTTACGAAGACATGGAATCTTTATTTAATTTAGATGTTACTAATATTATACGATGTAGACAACATGTTAAGAATTGCGCGTTAAAAAATGTATTGAAATATATATAACTGGTGGTTGCAAAAGAATTTTTTAAATAAAAATACATTAACGTATTTATTATGTATTTCTTTTCCCTTCCTTTGTAATGTATAAACGTATGTATAAACGTACGTATGTGTGTATAAACGTGTGTACGTATGTACGTGTGTATAAACGTATGTATAAACGTATGTATAAATTCGTGATAAAGAAAATATGTAGAAAGACTTGATAAAACGTGTCGCAACATGTTCGAAATTCTTGAAAGTGGGGGGGAGGACCTGTCTTCTCTCATTGATTCCAGAAGTATTATCATTTACACGGATGCAATTAGTCTTACGATACCCACTTGTACGAACGGCTGAAAAAATGTACGCTAAAGAGAGCAGTGCATCGTACGATGTGAAGAAGGAATATAACATGTAAGTTTCAACGTTCTATACACAAAAGAAACGTTTTTTAACATTATGTATGTACACAGTACGGAGCATCGTGCAGTGCGTTTACTGAGCAGACGTTACGATCCGACGAATACGGGCTACAAATTTTTGGAAATTGGAATCAACGTTGGCCCACCGAGTTACGTGGAGATCGCCCTTGGAGATCATCGCGGACACGAACTATCGCTGTCTCTCGAAAAGCCGTGGAAGAGTCTCTACGAGCAGCGAGGAAATATTTACAAGCTGTTTCGAAACGAATACAAGGATAATTTTATAAGCGTTGGACCGCTAACCGTCAGTGTTTGCATGCTGAACTATGCTACGCTCGTACATCTCGATTTTTCATCCGTACGTATTATGATGACCGAAACGACGCTAAGCTGTGTTTGACTTTAATGGGTATATCGATGTAACGTTCGAACGATTAGCTCGACTCGTCGATACGTAGATATCAAGTATACGCGATTCTCCAACATCGCATCTGAGAACATTATGGTATATGTGATAGCGACATCTTCAATGGACATCAGCTCGTCGATTGCGAATTAATAGCTTTAGTTTTTAATAAGTACGAAAACCGATGTAATAAGATGTAAATAAAACATTTTTGTTCGCCTTATTTCATGTGTATTGTCTTTTATTTCCCATCCTTTG